AGTAGAATATGATTGGAAGGATATTCAGTATGGGGAACAAATAGTTAAACGCAGAGAATGCAGAAGAGAGTCCTTGAAAGTACACTAAAGCAGGAAAAGTTTTGGGAAGCAATTCCCAATGGGAAAAGAGGAAATAAATAATACAAGGGAAGATGCTAGAAAAGGGGTTCTTAAATTTTTGTGTGTCATAGATACCTTGGAAATTTTGTTGAATTATACGGATTCTCTTCTCAGAATAATGCTTTTCAATGCATAAAATAAAATACATAAAATTGCAAAGGAAACCAACACGTTATACTGAAATGTAGTTATCAAGATATTCTTAAAAGCAAATTCAGGGACCCCATGTTAAGAATCTTTTTTGCTACAATGATATTTTTTTAACACTGCGAGTTGTACAGTCTTTCTCTGAAGATTTCCAATAAGGGGGAGGGTGGGGAGGGTAGAAAATAATCACTGGGGAAATGTGTTATTGCTAGAAGGCTGTAGAGTGTCCTAAATTAGCTTTCTGGGTTTACTCCTGAAAACAATTTTTACCATCATTTAAAACAAAATGTGTCATTATACATTCCATTTGAATCAGTTTTATGTTGTATGTAATTCTTAATTAGTAAAATAGTAATATAATAAGAATCATATTGATCCCATCATAGGAGAAGAAAAGAAAATGTAAACTAGTTAGTAGTTTAAAATATTCTTGCTATCTGTAAAAAAAATCATTATGAGATTTTTAAAATTTTAAATGTATTTTCTAATGTAGAGGTTATTATCCACAGCACTATTTGACATGTTTTTGCGTTGTAGGAAAGAAATGCCAAATTCCTCAAGTTCCTGCTTGGGGTGGGAACAGGGGCACATCAAATTACACCATAGGTGGCAAAAGAAGCAGCTCCAGGTGTCGTTCTAACTTGTCAAGCAGCTACCTCTAAGGAAGGGAATAAAATGCTCTGTCCTTTCAAAAGCCTTTTCACACAACTCACCTTTATTGTTCAAGCTTCCCCTCCCCCCCTTTAGAATGCTTATATTTGAAAATATACACAGATACTGATACATTTTTAAAGGAAAGAAAAAGAAAGGGAGTTTATAAAATGCCAGTACTCTATACAGGCATGTAACACAAAGTGACTTTTCAATCATCAGATAACTCTAATTATGTCTTTATATGTATATCATATTTAGCAATGTTTCTATCTTCAGATGGCTCCAATACGAAAATAAAGAAAAAGAAAAAAGACTGGCAAATGACTAAAGCGAAAGCAAAGGAGGTCATTTCTACCACTGAATTTTAAACTCAAAGCATTTTGCACACATCTGTATTTCAGGGAGATTATGAAATCATCCTTGGATGGAAAACATTTTTTAAAAACTGCTTTAGAGAGACAAGTTCAGATTTTGTCATGAGAATATTTTTTAAAAATATATCTTCATAGTTTTTTCCTATTGTTATCCAGTAGCTATTATCAAGCTACTTAGTACAATTCTAGCACTTAACTTATGCCTTTCCTGTATTGATACATTGCAACATGTACCCATGTATAAAAATGATTTCATGATTTAAACAAGGTAACTGGTTCTGTTTCTTGGCTGGGACCCAATTAAATAACCACTGATGTAAGCAGCTATTACCTTCTTAAAAGGAAATCTGTGGTTTCCTTATTTAAACTGTTGAGTTTTAATGTCCATCAAAAAGGCTGTTATTGCAATGAATAATTTAGCCACTCCAGTCTACTCCTCCCTATTACACTACAGGCATGGTTTCAAGGCAGTAAAAGATATCAGCAGTCTGTCCTAAAGATTTTGCTATAGCAAAATAGCTACTGTACATTCCATTATATTTACTCTTCAAAATAATATATTAAACAAAAAAGGCTTTGGTTTTGGATCGGTATTGAGGGTTTTTTGGGGGGGGTTCAGGATATCAAAAGTACGTGGAGTTGCTGAGAAAACAATTGAATAAAAAGAACTTGCAAGGAAAAGCAGCAGGACCCTTTTAAAAAGATGAAAGGTCAATAGATTTGGAGATGTTATGGTGTCATTTCATCTGTTTGTCCCTTGGTGGAGTTCTTGAGTTAGTTTCTCTCTTTCTGTCAACCTGCTTTATATTTCTTTCCAGAACTGGCTATCATGTTTACCGTATTTAACCTTTTCTTTGTCTTATTGTGAATACAAAGTCGATTATAAGTGAAAGCCCTTCCGAGATCTTGTCTTCAACACCTACTTCTTTGTATTCCAGACCACGAACTGTTTCCTCCCCACTACTCCTTTCTTTTCTTGAATATGAGGCGACATCGGACACTATGCTGTTTTCCAGTTCAGTCACCGAAATTTCTTAACTGCAAAGCCAACTGTGTTAAGTCACTGAGCGTTTCCGGGGGCCGAGGGTGTGCGGTGGGGGTGAGGGTGGGAGTGGTTTCAACAATCAGCTATATACTGAGTTTAAAGCAGGAAATTAGACTGAGGGAAAGAATTTAGTTAGCCAACATTTTGAAAATATACAGATTAAGGTGGTTACATGTTTTAATCAATTACTAAAGAAAAAAAACCAAACACCAAAACTTTGTACCAAAGGAGTATTTCCCTCTCTTCCCCTAAAATGGGGAAGGGGAGATCTTTAATAAAAGAACAGAAGGAATTATTGACAAGTGACATTTTACTCCAAGTAGCAAATGACACCCAGTCACTCTAATCAATGTACTGCTCAGGACACAGATCTCGTTTTCTCCCTTTAGTTCTGCCCGCCAAAGCAGCGGCAGCATCAGGCTCTATAATTTATTGCAGCCGGTTACACTTTCGATCCCATTTCCTTCTGAACCCTTTCCTCTCGGGTTCAGAAGATAAATGTAGCCCCAGCTCTGAGACAGGAGAGGGTTGTAGGTGGGAGGGAACCGGATACCATTCTCCGCGTAAGGTCTGCTACGGAAGGGTATTAAGTCCCTCAGTTTCCTTTAATGAAATTGCTGGATACTTGTGACAGGGACACTAATACAGCTGCTGAAATGGGGCAGGGGATGGGGTGGAGAAAGCGACTTCTCCCTCCATCCAGCCTCTGCACCGGCGAACCGCGAAGCAAGAGCTGATGTATGCCGGTGTGGTTTAGCTGAGGGGCGGGGGAGGCAGTGGGAACCTGGTAAAAGGCGAGGGACAGGGCTTCCTCTCATCTACCCTCTTCATCCCATCCGCCTGCCTCCTTCCACAAATCCCTAAGGAATCTTTTGGCTCTGGCACAAGGCAAAAATATCTCCTTCATAGACCAACCTGCTCAAGTGGGTAGGGAGATGATGCGGACAGAAAGGGGAAGGAGGAAAGAGGGAAGAGGAAAGGAAAGAAAGCGAGGCAAAGGCGCTCAGGCCCCCGCCTCCTGACCCCGGCTGTTCCCCATGCTGGGCACGTCAGCTCCATTTCCCACGCTGGCTTGGCAGAGAGGCGGTAGTGTTGGTAGGGACGATCGTAGAGGGGAGGGTGAACCATGATTATAACTCTCGTTGTGAAAGAAGAAACCAACCCACTGTGAAGGACACTGCATTCACTAGCAGCCGGGGAAGACGTTTGTAGATGACTGGAGAAAGCACCTCCCTATCCCGAATCACTCTCTCCCTTTCCTCCTTTTTGAAACCCAAGCTTCTGTCTAAGGGTGTCTAAGTCCCGGGTGAAAAGGAAAGGGAGTACAACCCAAGGTGCAGGTTATGTCTTAGGCAAATGTCTTGAGTCCTACAGAATCCGGTTAAAGTTGATTGTGTGGAGAAGGAAAGGGCGGTTAAAAGCGCCATCCCAGCGTGACTGCAAGAACTTTGTAAGGGGCGTGCGTGCGTGCGTGTGTGTGTGTGTGCGTGTGCTTAAAGTGCAGAGAGCAGTACACAGAGAAGTGCACTGCACCATATTTCTAGGTATCGGAATGTACTGGCTCTTAGCCACCTAATCCAGAACGCTTCCCTCCTCCCGCCTAGGACTGAGGATGGGAGTGGGGGTGGGGGCGGGATTCTGATAAATTCGAATTCCTTGGCAAATATAATGGGGGTTTGGCATTAATCCCCCTTAAACCTCTGAGAAGGTGCTACGGAACCCAGACAACTCTCCTCTCCCCTTGTCTCTCTTCTCCTCCCTTCCCCCCTAGCAGCCCGCCGCCTACCGCCCCCTCAGTTTCGGGACTGCGGCGGTACCCAGTGAGTCTGCGCGCGGGGCTTTTCTCGCTGATGCTGCACATAAAAAGCAAAGAGTCTTCCTAGTGGCGGGGAAGGAGGAGGAGTTTCCATCACCAGCCTGCTCTCCCCAGCCAGTGAGAAGAAGCCGCGGCAGCAACAGCAGCAGTCTCCACTGCCGGAGTCCTCCAGCTTTATCGGAGCGGGGAATACTCTGTCGGTCCCCGGCACACACTACACACACATTCCCACATCCTCTGTGTTTCTCTGTGGTCCCCAAAGGGAAAGTAGTGGAAATCTCTCTCTCCCGCCCCCTATCCCCATCACTGCTCCCCCGCCGCTCCCGCCCAAACAAGAGCGCGCCACATCTGCTCGTATACTTTATGGGTGTTTTTCTTGTTTAAATCATTCTGCTTCACCACACACATCTCGTAAAGCCAGAGTGCACACTCTGAACGGATTTTTCTTAAGCTTTTAAATTTCCTTTACGAGAAGACTCGAACACCGTATAGCCGAGAAAGGTGCTGTGAGGTCCATTCCCACCCCTCCCTGCCTTCTCGCCTCTCTCCCTGGAGGTGGAACTTAGGTTACAGTCCCGTTTCTTGACCTCTCCCTGCTCCTTCCCCCCAACTTTATCCCTACCCCTCTCAGCTCGGAGTTCCACTCCTTCCTCGCTACTGAAATGAATGAGTAAGAGAAAGTGCAGACACTACAATCCAAACGTAGTGGGCAGGAGTGGTGCCGCTGGCGGCTGGGGTTGTGTGTCTTTTGGAAGCTGTGGAAGTCTAGCTATGCAAGTACCATGGGCGATTAAGTGACACAAAGTCAAAAGAAGGAGAAGGCGAACCAGGGACACTAGATAGACAAAGTTGCCATTAAAGTTTATTTTCCTTTCATCCATATAGGTAACGCTACATTTTGTCCACTGCTAAAGGCTGCAGCTTCCTGATTTACATGTGTTTATGCCTCAGAAATACACACGGAGTATTTTGAGCGTTCCCCCCCACCCGCCAGGCATGCAAAATGACCCGAATGCCACATAAAGAAAATGAAGGTTGATGACCCTTCTCCCCCCAAAAAACATCCCCGTATTTGGAAACTCTAAAAGTCTGCCCTCCCCAAAGAGGATCCCTCCCTTTGCCTATCATCAGAGTTTGAGGGTCTCTCTCTTACACCACTGCAGCTTATCATGGTTCCTCAGAACACTAGATCAGCAGAGCGGGCGCGTGCCTGGTCTCCGGACCACCGGTCATGATACACTTGCCACAGGATGATTCCCTAAATGGCGACAATTCCAAGGGAATTCGTTCAAAAACAGAGAGGAGAGAGGGAAGTGGGAGAGAAAGGGAAAGGAGCAACGAAATAGGTTTCATTAAATACACACGCCCACACACATACACGCGCGAGCACACACACACACACACACACACACACACACACACACACACACACACCCACATTTGTCAGTGGAAGGAAGAAATTTACCAATATAGGTTGGGGAGAAAAGTCACTGCGGAGATGACGGGTTGGCAAGTGCAGTAGCAAGACTCATTGTAGTGTGATATGGCTTGGCTTTAGGAGGACTGGCTGGTGTTTTGTGATCTCCACTTACAGCACTACAAGCAGCAGCAGAGGCAGAGGCAAAGGGTAAGACTGTTCTTTCTGGAGTGCAGCGGTTGGCTCGTCCTCTCTTCCCTCCCTGTCTCAGTCTATGTACTTCGGGCAGCTAGCTCTACTGCTGCTGCTGGTGCTGCGTCAGGGAAGAGCCTGTGAGAGTGAGGTTCCAGCAGCTCCCACCACTTCGGGCAAACTTGCTGGTTTACGGCTTATTCTGAGCGGGAGCTTCTCAGTTGCCATTCAACATTTTAAAGCCACAAGCAGCTTTGCTGTGAGAGCGCCGGAACCAGACTTCTGAAAGACAGGAAAGGGGGACGATACAGTTGCAGAAATCACCTACTATAGGGGTGCAATTCATAGGAAACCGCGGACAGACACTTTTTTCCCCCTCCTTGGCAAATTGGACCCTGTATTTTTTTCTTAGCAGCTTACTCCCCCCTCATCGCCTTTGCCTTTCTTCTCAAACACGGGTGCAATTCTGAATCTGTGTTAATTCACGTGGGAGATCCAGTTACATAGCGTTGGAGTGCTGGCATATTAACAAGAGGCCAATAATCGTCTCTGGACACAGCCTTGTCGCTCACCTTTGAACTGAGAGGCTCAATTCATATCTAGTTACCCGCATTGGGACAGGAAGGAAGGAGAGGGAAAGAGTGGGAGAAGGAAAGAGGAAGAGGAGGGAGGAGGAGCAAGAAGAAAAGGAGGAGGAGAAGGCGAGAGAGAGGGGAGAGAGAGAGAGAGAGAGAGGGAGAGCGAGAGAGAGAGAGAGAGAGAGAGAGAGCGAGCGAGAGAGAGAGCAGAGAGAGAGCAGAGACTGCAATCTCATTTGTGAATCGCTCACAGTGCTGCAGATCCACATTGCTATAACACATGCAGAGCAAATGCAGGTAAGGCATAGAAACTGCGGATGCAAAAACAAACTTGGGGACTGTGCTGTGTGCATTTCTTCAGCCTTTGCAAATCCAGGGCAAACGGCTTCTGCAGTTTTGTATGGTTGCTTTGTGACTAATGACCTTGCGCAGAGTAGTTAAGGAAAAAAAAAATCAAACCTCCCCGGAGAAAGAATTGAATATTTAGACGATCTCTGAAGATGGATTTGGCTGCTTTTCTTCTAACCAGAGGGAATTTTCTGCGGACTGTGCTGTAATGCAAGGTGGTCTACTATGAACTGTTCAGCCACGGATATGATTGGGGATTTTTAATTCTCTCTCTTCCCATATTGCCAAAAGGATTTGTAGTTGAGACTTGCTTGTTGCAGGACACAGACCCTTTTGAATGAAGCGGTTAACATTTTCCTGTGTACAAAGAGAAAAAGCAAATGCTTTTTGTAGTAAGCGGCTTCAGCGAGAGCGTGAATTGTACTAAACTCGAGTAGCAGAAGCAGTGATCCGGGAGGGGATTGGGGTGGGGGCGGGGGGTGCTGCAAAATTGCACTGTATGTGCTCTTCGTTTTATTACAAGACTGCCAAAGTGATTACAGTTAAACCAGAAAGAAGACCAGAAGCAGGAAGAGAAAATTCATCCCAATCTATTGGGGTGAATCTTTTTTTTGGGGGGGGAGAGGAAAGGCAGCCAGCATATTGTCCCGTGAACTGTAAGTATTTCAACTGAAACGAGGGGAGGGGGAATCTGCCATCCCTCCCCGGGTGATTATCATCCATTGCATGAATTATGAAACGATAACTTTCGAAAGAAGAAAAAAGGATTTATAATTGATCACCCACCAGACTCTACACGTTGTTCTTCCCCCCCTCCCTTCCCTCTCGCCTTTTCTTTCCCGGAGAGGAGAGAGAATTAGGGGGAGGGTAGGTGGTAGGGACCGGGGGTGGGGGGGGAGACGAAAGAGGGGTGTTTTGTTATAAGGAGCAGTAGCAGCAGCAGCAGGAGAAGATGCTGAAAATGCGGACTATGGGCTTGGTGCGCGGCTGGTGCTGCTGGTGCCTTTGCTGTTTCCTCCTGCCGGTCTCTGTCACCCTGGCCGCCGCCAAGCAGCTCCTGAGATACCGGTTGGCTGAGGAAGGACCCGCGGATGTCCGCATCGGGAACGTGGCTTCAGACCTGGGTATCGTGACGGGTTCCGGAGAGGTGACTTTCAGTCTGGAGTCGGGCTCCGAATACCTCAAGATCGACAACATCACCGGGGAGCTGAGCACTAGCGAGCGCCGCATCGACCGGGAAAAGCTGCCCCAGTGCCAGATGATCTTCGACGAGAACGAGTGCTTCCTGGACTTCGAGGTCTCGGTGATCGGCCCCTCTCAGAGCTGGGTGGACCTTTTCGAGGGCCGGGTCATCGTGCTGGACATTAACGACAACACCCCTACCTTCCCTTCTCCCGTCCTCACTCTCACGGTGGAGGAGAACCGGCCGGTGGGAACACTCTACCTTCTCCCCACTGCTACCGACCGCGACTTCGGCCGTAATGGCATCGAGCGCTATGAGCTGCTCCAGGAGCCCGGGGGCGGCGGGGGTGGCGGCGGCGGTGGAGAAAGCCGTCGCGGAGGGGCGATCGAGAGCGCCCCCTACCCCGGGGGTGGCGGCGGGGGCAGCGGCAGCCCGGGCAGCTCCAAGCGGCGTCTGGAGGCGTCCGAGGGCGGAGGGGGCAGCGCCTCAGGCAGCGGGGGCCGGAGCACGGTGTTCGAGTTGCAGGTGGCTGACACTCCGGACGGTGAGAAACAGCCACAGCTGATCGTCAAGGGGGCGCTGGACCGGGAGCAGCGGGACTCTTACGAACTGACCCTTAGGGTGCGGGACGGAGGCGACCCTCCGCGTTCCTCTCAAGCCATCCTGCGGGTGCTAATCACCGACGTGAACGACAACAGCCCCCGCTTCGAGAAGAGCGTGTACGAAGCTGATCTGGCTGAGAACAGCACCCCCGGCACTCCGATACTGCAGCTCCGCGCCGCTGACTTGGACGTGGGAGTGAATGGTCAGATCGAGTATGTCTTCGGGGCCGCCACGGAGAACGTGAGGCGGTTGCTCAGGCTGGACGAGACCACGGGTTGGCTTAGTGTCCTGCACCGCATAGACCGCGAGGAGGTGAACCAGCTACGCTTCACGGTCATGGCCCGGGATCGGGGGCAGCCCCCGAAGACCGACAAGGCTACGGTTGTGCTCAATATCAAAGATGAGAACGACAATGTGCCGTCCATCGAGATCCGCAAAATCGGGCGCATCCCGCTTAAGGACGGGGTGGCAAACGTGGCCGAAGACGTTTTGGTAGACACCCCCATAGCCCTGGTGCAGGTGTCAGATAGAGACCAAGGGGAGAACGGGGTGGTCACCTGCACGGTGGTGGGGGACGTGCCCTTCCAGCTTAAGCCGGCCAGCGACACGGAGGGTGACCAAAACAAGAAAAAGTACTTCCTACATACTTCAGCCCCCCTGGACTACGAGAGCACCCGGGAATACAATGTTGTCATAGTGGCAGTGGACTCAGGCAGCCCCAGTCTTTCCAGTAACAATTCTCTAGTGGTGAAGGTCGGAGACACCAATGACAACCCCCCAGTATTTGACCAGTCGGTGGTGGAGGTCTATTTCCCTGAAAACAACATTCCTGGGGAGAGGGTGGCCACGGTAGTGGCCACAGACGCAGACAGTGGGAAGAATGCGGAGATCGCATACTCCCTGGACTCCTCTGTAATGGGGATCTTTGCGATTGATCCGGACTCTGGGGATATCCTAGTCAATACCGTGCTGGACCGGGAGCAGAATGATAGGTATGAGTTTAAAGTGACTGCCAAAGACAAAGGCATACCAATCCTGCAGGGCAGCACCACTGTGATAGTGCAGGTGGCTGACAAGAACGACAACGATCCTAAGTTTATGCAGGATGTTTTTACCTTTTATGTGAAAGAAAATTTGCAGCCCAATAGCCCAGTAGGGATGGTCACTGTAATGGATGCTGACAAAGGGCAAAATGCAGAAATGAGCTTGTACATAGAGGAGGATAGTAACATTTTTTCCATTGAAAATGACACAGGAACAATTTACTCTACTACAGCTTTTGACCGGGAGCATCAGACTACGTACACCTTCAAAGTGAAGGCAGTAGATGGAGGAGATCCTCCAAGGTCTGCCACAGCTACTGTATCTCTTTTTGTGATGGACGAAAACGACAATGCTCCCACAGTTACCTTTCCTAACAACATCTCCTACACTTTACTGCCACCTTCAAGTAATGTAAGAACAGTGGTCGCCACAGTGCTGGCAACTGACAGTGACACTGGTGTAAATGCAGATCTTAACTATAGTATTGTGGGAGGAAATCCCTTCAAGTTGTTTGAAATTGATGCCACTAGTGGGGTTGTGTCCTTAGTGGGGAAACTGGCCCAGAAACATTATGGCTTGCACCGGTTAGTGGTACAAGTCAATGACAGTGGACAGCCTTCACAATCCACCACCACTTTGGTTCATGTCTTTGTCAATGAAAGTGTTTCAAATGCTACTGTGGTTGACTCCCAAATAACCCGAAGTTTGCACACTCCATTAACTCAAGATATTGCTGGTGACCCTAGTTATGAAATTAGCAAACAGAGACTGAGTATTGTAATAGGGGTTGTTGCTGGGATCATGACAGTCATCCTGATTATCTTGATTGTAGTAATGGCAAGATACTGCAGGTCCAAAAATAAAAATGGATATGAGGCAGGTAAAAAAGATCACGAGGACTTTTTTACACCCCAGCAGCATGACAAATCTAAAAAGCCTAAAAAGGACAAGAAAAATAAAAAATCAAAGCAACCTCTCTACAGCAGCATTGTAACAGTAGAGGCTTCTAAACCAAATGGACAAAGGTATGATAGTGTCAATGAAAAGCTCTCAGATAGCCCTAGCATGGGACGATACCGGTCAGTCAATGGAGGTCCAGGAAGTCCTGACCTTGCAAGGCATTACAAATCCAGTTCTCCACTGCCTACTGTCCAGCTTCATCCCCAGTCACCTACTGCTGGAAAAAAACACCAGGCCGTACAAGATCTCCCGCCAGCTAACACTTTTGTGGGAGCAGGAGATAACATTTCAATTGGATCAGATCATTGTTCTGAGTACAGCTGTCAAACCAATAACAAGTACAGCAAACAGGTAAGATTGTTCCAAAATACATGTTAATAGATATGTATATATAAATACATCCATTACAAGATGTTAACTTTGAGGTTGTGCACCTTCTTTTGGGTTGCTTGCTCATTCAGATCTTTACAAAAATGTTGCTTTTTAAAAGAAACTTGTGCTTAATTATAGCACTGTTCATTGAGTTGAACATTAATTCAGTTTTATCAGTTTGTCTTGAAAGTTACAAATGTATTTGACATTCATCAAAGGAATAGTGAAAACAAGCAGTATTTTGCCCCTAATTTTACAAATGACAGTTTTTTATTCATCTTGATCATGCCAACCCCCTTGTGTGTGTGTTGGTATGACGACTTTAGCCTGAGATTGTTTGCTTTAGTCTTGGGCAGAAAGCTGCCTCTTATTAGAAAAACTTTAATTTTTTTCCCTATAATCTCCACAAATTAGACACTCTAAAAGTTTTAACTAAATTACACCTTATGTAAGATTTCATGGATAGGTGAATGCTGATTCATGCAAATGCAGTGCCAAGTCCAGGACCTTGAAATTCTGACTGCTTTGACAAAAATGCTTTCTTTGCCATTTATTAGTATGCAAATATGGTACAGAATGACTTAAAGTGCTTTAGTACCTATAAGAATTATACTTTTATAATATGCAACCAGTATTTGCATCCTCCATGTTCAGTATTGAAAGATTAAAAGTATTGTTGGATTGTATGATCCATTTGTTATTTCAACTAAGCCAGAGACTTTTGTGATAGTTGTCCTGTTTGCAAGCATTTTTCTTTTTGGTGTGCTTCATGATGTATTAAGAGTACAAATGGAGTATTTGACAGTTTTTTTAAAATTATTGGTGAATTGTAGAAACAGTGCAAAATCTACATGAACTTCAAGAAACATGTAATTAAGCTTTACTAGTATTGCCTTAATAATGTGCAGTCCTCAAAAATGTTATAATCTTGAAGTAACATTTATTACATAGATACAGCAGCTATACCTTTTGGAAAAATTGTTATTCTAGTACTGTAGCAACCTATGATAATAATAACCAAATACCTCTTAATAAGAGAATTACTCTCAAGATGTACATTCAAAGCTTAATTAGAAATTCTACCTTTCTTTTAATAGTCCATGGTGGTGTGTTAGATGTTGGCCACAGAGGTTTCTAGTCTAAATAAACATGTTCATGTATTGTTATAGGTTTCCTTAAAGCTACTGTACAAAAGAGATATTGATTATCTTTTGCTAGATAAATTATTAACACTGTCTTACTAGAAAATATTGTACATGTAGCACTTTGTGGGGTCTCTTTGGAGAAGAAAATAAAATCATCATGCTTTTCAATGAATCAGTCAGAGAAACCCAGGGAAACAACTTTGAATGGAACCATAAACATCTACTTGATTTTGTTTAAGTGTCTTTAAATTAGTATAATTTTTACACTTGGGCTTGTTGGCTTGTTCTTTTAGTCTTGAAGTTTAATGTAATGGCAAGCTTGTGGCAAGTGGTCATAATATCTACCGACTGTTTAAATGTTTTGTCTCAAGTGTTTTGTTTTGTTTTGTTATTTTGAAATGCAGACTTGGCTTATAACTCTTTGATGACTTTATCAGAATTGCAGCTGAGCAATAGTCCAGTCAAAATAAATAGTGTCATGCACTTGGAAGTATTTAGATACCACTGGTAAAGCATGCATGTAAATTAATGGCATCCAGTATTTCCCTAGAAAAATATAAACAATAGCAAAAAGTGAAAAAGCAGCATGGAAAAGAGAACTTCCCCCAGACTGACTCTTATTGCACTGCAGCTTCTGTGGGTACTGATAATATTGTTCCTGAGTGGCATTTGTATTCACAGTTGTGTAATTTTATGGTTATGAGAGGGTATAGATGGTGCCAGATTTACACACATCTCATCAAAACTCCTCATACAGTTGAGAGGCATTTGGCTTTTCAAATAGGGTTTCGTCTATATACTTGCATATTTTAAAGCAGCAGAGATCAGGACTTTTGGCATCCTGTTTAAAAGGCAAATTGATACACTTATAAATAAAATAATGTTGGTGTTAGTATCTTAACTGGGCAAAGACATCAAACAGGAAAAACCATGATGCAAATGAAATACATCATGCAAGCTGCCAAAAGGATCTGAAGAAAATTTTCATTATCATGAGAGATTTAAAATATATGCAGAGTTTATAAAATCAAGTAAATCTGTGCCCTCCAGGATCATGAATGGAAGAGGTATCTATCCCCATCATTGTCATTAGTAACTGATAACCTCATATCTATAATATTGTTGTGAAAAGATATGGATTCTATTTACAAGACTACATCTGGTGTAGACATCCATCATAATGTACATGCTTCTTTTTTTTTTCTTGGTCCTGATTCTGATTTGTATTTCATTTAGATAATGTTCATCTTTGTAGCCTCCTCAGCATCTAACATAGTGCCTTTCACATAATAATATACTCAAGAAATGTTTGTTGAAATTCTGGGGTTGAATTTTATATTTATAAACTAAAGCCATTGTGCTGAGCTTTTTCAGAACTACTGAAATATATTTTCTCTGATTAAAGTCATAGAAAGAAAAATTGTTTATAATTTTGTTCTGTTTCGGACCTTCATTTAGAATTTAGGTTAAAACTTTGATGTCTTAATTATTTTTGTTATGGGCTAATCCAGATCCTAGAATTTCATCTAACCTGTGAACTTTATTTTTATCTGTAGCTTTAGTTAATAACTTTGTATATTGATTAGTTGCATTAACAGAATTGCTTTCTCCTTATAATTTCTTGTCTTCAGGTAATTGTAAAAGAAACTTATATTAACACTATGAAATCCTGAAAAATAGTGACTCTTAAGTTTTTGCTTATAGTTACATTGTTAGGAGGGATAGCTATGTGGTAGGGCTATAGAGTATTCCACTTTTTGGTTTTTTACAGATGCTGAGAAATTCAAACAACTTCTTCAGTTTTTCTGGCTGGAATCTATTTTCACACTGATATGTGGAGTGGAGAGGTTCTGTGAGTCACTTCAGAAACCTACTCCTTAGAAAAACTGGCTTTTTAGTCCCAGTCTTCACATTACCATTATCTGGGTAATTTCAGTAAATGTCCTTGCCCTTAATCTAAATTACAGAGATAATTGAGGGCAAGGCAGGATTTTGCTGCATTATTCAAATGATGGTTCACCTTTCCACTTCACACAAAGTGTGCTTTGTAGAACTTGTGGCCTTGGTGGTTGTTAAGATGTTTTGCTTTTGGACCAGAACTTTAAATGAACTATCTTTAATTTTTTAAACCTGCAAAACAACACCACCATCCTATGATTTTAGGTGTCCCAAAAGAAGACAGTCACTGTGCGTGAGATTAAATGGAAATACACGTGTCTAGTTAATATTTGATATTAATATTTACCTGTGACTTTTATTTGTTTTTATGTGTTTTCCTTTTATTCTATTTGCATTTCCCAGTGGTATTTGGAAAACAAATTGTATTATACAGGCAAAATGTTATCCTATCTAGTGTGCTTATGGGATTCCTACCACTCTATTATTTGAGTTAGAATATGGAAGGTACACTGGATTAAATATTGATTTAAAAATTCAGTCGGCAAACCGATCCTGAAATACAAAAAAAAAAATCTTAGAGTAACTTTTGTATCAATTTTCCTTTGAATAACTGACTGTTGAATTAAGTCTTTATAATGTGCTCTTCACTTAATCAAATGATACTGAATATATTCTATGTAGTGCACTAAATACAAAAGATTAAATGATAACTGAAATTAGGGAAGCAAATGGGTCATTTGCTGCTATGCTACTAAGCTTTATGTAAATAGTGTACTTATTTGTGCCTATGACATAATTTAAGTTTGACTGCAGCATTCATGTTTAAGTATAGGGGTCACCCCAATTCTGTAGTTTAACTTTTGAAAAATTGAATTCTCCAGCATGTTTCTTGTTGATTATTACTATTAACCCAATTAAAACATAATTGAAATTCATAGGGTTAGATTTTTCTGACATTTGATATGAGAGAATATGTCAAGAACTGATACCTAATAAAATTGAGGCCAATGCCAGTCAAATTCTATCTACTGAATAAAATAACCTGTATCTAAGGTTATAAGAAGGTCACACATGGCTTCCATCTATTATGAGCTGATACAACTTGGATTAAAATAACTGAAAATCACTTTTCTGCCTGATTAATTTATATGGAAGGCAAAAGAGTTTGGATGATGGTTTGGAAATAAAGTAGATTTATATTTTTACTGAACTACGCAATTGATAGGAAACAGCACATTTCTTCTTCATCATTGCAACTTTAAGGAAAATTTACAGCAGAAGAAAAATCAGTTACATATGTACATAGGAATATATGCATGCATATATGTACAAAAATGGTTGTATTTTTCTGGAAGACACAGTTACACATCATTCTTAGATGAAAATTTTAATATACCAAAATATGGCAAATGTACTGACTTGTATTAAACAATTAGCAATTTTAAATGACAAATAAAATAATCATCTGCATAATTTTTATGCCTACAAATACAAGGATGAGAGTATTTTATAACTAGAAGAAAAGTTGGTGGTCATCTTGTATAATAGCCATCTTTTACAGATGGGATAACCGAGGCCCATAGAAACTGTGTTGTGCTCAAGGTCACATAATTCAGCGAGAGAACTCTCAATGTAGTATTCTTACCACCAGAACATAAAACCTGTAGAAAATAAATTCTTATAACATTCTACAAGTTTGTGTTACTTATTAATATAAATGAATATGCCTATTCTAACTTACATTTGGAGCTCTGCAGATTGTACTATAGAATTACACAGAATAAAAACTTTCTTTAAATTCTGAGAGTTACCTGCCCTTATTAGTAGAAGAAAATATAATTTCTCTTTTTAGGTGACATTTTTAATTAAGTAATGATATCTTTGGGCATTCATTGTTTCACGGAGAGAAACATTCAGGAGTTATTTTGGTTAGGA